AATTTTAGAATTACGGAATTCTAAAATTAAATACTCGAAAATTATTGATTGAGAATTAATTATTATTTAAATAATGTGATTTTTTAAATTTGAATTTGAACACATCTAGATTTATCCATTTAAACTTATTTGATAAGTTGTTCAATTTAGAATTCAAATTAATTTAAGTTTGACTTAAATTCGAATTTGAATTTAAATTAAAATTGGACTACTGGATAAAGGATAAAATATCTTCCTTCCCTATCTGTTATTGGCGCCACACACAGGGTAAAACCCTAATGATGTGGCCGGCCACCTAATGGATAAAGGAAAGGGATTTTCTGTTCCAAATTCAAAAATTGGAGATAGGGATTTGATTCTGTTTTGAAGTTTGACTTCTACTATTTAAATATGAGAATGATAGAAAATTGTGGACAATTTTTGAAATTTTTTTCAGCCCTAAATTAGTTTTGGCCGAATTTCTCATTGGAAAAAAGAGAGCAAAATTTTTTCTCCAAAAATTCCACATCGTGCATGCGTTGGTGTTTGTGGAAATTCGAGTGTTTAAGAAACCTGTTTTGTCTCACGTGTGCCCACACACACGTCTAAGTGGAATCAAGGAATTGACGTGGAAGACTTTGGTTTTCTAAACACAAAGCTTGGAGCAAGGACTGTTCGTGGACAAAGAACTCAAGTTATCATCCGAGTCGGTTTCCAGGTATTTTTCATGATTGAGTTCTTGATATATAAATTAATGCGATTAATTTATTCGTGCATAAATTAATATAATCTATAGAGTATCTCAAAAGTTTTTCTGAAATTTTTGTTATACACGATCCGCTTCTCCCCACGTTTCCGCAGCCAAATTCGATTCGGCAACCAACATTTTTTTCCTCATGAAAGTCTTTGGCGTTCTTGCTATATGTTTCTCTCATTGTGCTTTGTTTCTTTGTATATGCTTCATTTTTCTCTATCCTGATCTATGATTTGATCTTTTTTCTGCCATAATTAACAAGAACAAGCTATTTGTTTATGCTTATTGCACGTAGACGGATATAAAATTTTTAAAAACTTAGTAAATTATGATTTTTTTCTTGCCAATGATTGTAAGTTATGCATTAAGAAGTTGAATTTGTGTTATGGTTAAATTTCTTGAGTTGTTACTGTTAATGAGTTAATGGGGTATTATGTTCTAGGGAAAAGGCACAAACGTGTTGGAGCATTGTACGGACTTGCCAGCTCTTTAAGATTTACTTTAGGGTGCTAATATAATCCCTTCTTTTTAATGTATTTGTATTATGCAGATATTCATTTACAATTTCTATTATGGTTTATTATCATATCAGAAGGAAAAAAATCAGGAAAAGTATTTACTCGCATCAAAATGTTTATTTATGTTTGAAGTGCTTGAAATGCTGCAAGAAACAATAGCTACGTTGTGAA